AGCTTTTCCCCATTCAGTATAATGTTAGCTGTAGGTTTTTCATAGATTGCTTTTTTTGTGTTCAGAAATGACCCTTCTATACCAATCTTACTGGGAGTCTTAATCATAAAAGGATGTTGCATTTTAGCAAATGCTTTCTCCGCATCAATTCAGATGATCATATGGTTTTTATCTTTCTTTCTGTTAATGTGGTGTATTACATTTATGGCCTTGCATATATTGAACCACCCTTGCATCCCTGGTATAAAGCCTACCTGGTCGTGATGAATAATCTTTGTTATATGTTGTTGAATATGATTTGCGAGTATCTTGTTGAGAATTTTCGCATCTATATTCATCAACGATATTGATCTGTAGTTTTCTTTTTTTGTCATGTCCTTATCTGTTTTGGGGAATGAGGATGATGGAGGCTTCATAAAATGAATTTGAAAGGTTTCCCTCCTTTTCAAACTTTAGAAATAATTTGAGCTAGATATGGATTACTTCTTCCTTAAAAATTTGTAGAACTCAGAAGTGAAGACATTTGGACCTCGGCTTTTCTTTGTCGGGAGGTTGTTTATCGCTGATTCAATCTCCTGGCTTGTTATGGTTCTGTTCAAGTTTTCTATGTCCTCCTGATTCAATCTTGGTAGATTATATGCATCCAGGAATTTGTCCATCTCCTCCAAGTTATTTTGATTTTTGGTATATAGTCACTCATAGTATCATCTAATGATATTTTGTATTTCTACTCTGTCTGTTGTAATATTGTCTGTTTCATCATGTATTTGATTTATCTGGTTTCTTTCTTCTTCTTTATCAGTCTAGACAATGATGTGTTGATCTTGTTAATCTTTTCCAAGAACCAGCTTTTTCTTTCATTTTTTTTTTCTGTATGGTTCATTTATTATCTTTTTCATTTATTTATAGTCAAACCTTTATTATTCCTTTTTGCCTTGCATTTTGTTGTTGTTGTTGTTGTTTTTCCAATTCTCTGACACATGATATTAGGTTATCTATTTACCATCTTTCCATCCTTTCCTTTCTTCCTTCCTTTCTTTCTTTCTTTCTTTCTTTCTTTCTTTCTTTCTTTCTTTCCTTCTCTTTTGAGAGGTTTTTGCTATAGGGCATGTGCACTCACCAGACAGACAGAGAGAGACAGAGAGGCAGAAAGCGAGAAATCACCCCCCATGGGGGATGGCCATGCTGCAATCCCTTCTCCTCCATCCTCCTCTTGGGATCTTGGGCACGCATGCACACGCACCCAGCATGAGTTTTAAGCCACCGGGTCCAGGACACGAACCGTGGTCAACTACGTGGGAGCCCAGCGACATAGCTATTATGCTAACTGCTGGTCCCATTTACATCCTTTTCTCATGTGCACTGATTGCTATGAATTTCTCTCTTATGACTACTTTGGCCATGTCCCATAGATTATGGAAACTTGTGTACTCATTATCATTTGTTTACATATTTTTTTGATTTCGGACTTAATTTTTTCAGTAGGGAAGACGTCATTCAGAAGTAGGTTGTTCAGTTTCCATGTGTTTATGTATTTTCAAGGGTGCTTCTTGAAATTAATCTTGAGTTTAATTCCATCTTGGTCAGAGAGATACTGCATATAGTTTGTATGCCTTTGAATCTGTAAAAGCTTGATTTGGTCAAATCTTGAGTTTAATTCCATCTTGGTCAGAGAGATACTGCATATAGTTTGTATGCCTTTGAATCTGTAAAAGCTTGATTTGGTCAAGCATATGGTCAATCTTTGAAAAGGTTCCATGCCGGGGTGAGAAAAATGTGTGTTTTGTGGACTTTGGGTGGAAAGTTCTATAGATATCTATGAAGCCCATTTGGTTTATAGTATCATTTAGTTCCTGTACCTCTTTATTATCTGCCTAGAAGATCTGTCTAAAGGAGATAATGGGGTGTTGAGTTCTCCAACAATTATAGTATTTCTCCCTATCGTTCCTTTTAGCTCCAGCGGTCTTTCCTTCACATATTTAGGTGCTCCTGAGTTGGGTGCATAGATATTTATAAGCGTTATGTCTTCTTGATGGAGTATCCCATTTACTATCATATAATGCCCTTTTTTGTCTCTTCTTACAGTCTTTGACTTGAAGTCTATTTTGTCTGAAATCAATATCGCTACTCTAGCCCTTTTTTGATTTCCATTTACATGGAATATCTTTTCCAGCCCTTCACTTTTAGTCTACCTATGTCTTTATCCATG